CCCGCGTCCCCTGCATCGGCAGGCGGACTCTCAACCACTGCGCCACCAGGGAAGCCCCCTTCTATATCTTAATTGTGATGGTGGTTATAAGGATGTAAAAATCTGTCAAAAATTCATAGAATTTTCTGCTCAAAGTTGGTGAATTTTATATATGTAAATTACATCTCAAAAAAGCTGCCCAAAACAGATACCTAAAGCAGGGAGAAGCAAAGTATTTTTTGAGTAGGGTGATTTGTAGAAGTAAATAGAATGAATCAGTCCTAAATAAACCCTCTGCTTAAGTTCTGTCTGGCCACACACGAATGAAGACCTTCTCTGTGGTCACTGCCTTGCTGCACACTCCTTTAGAAGTAGAAGTAGGGAAGCAAGGTAGTGTGGTTAATTCATTCTGGAGTTGTCAGGGACTAAATAATGTTTACATTACTAGGTACTTTCAGTAAATGTGAATAAAAACTAAATACAAACTCTCAAAACACTTTTAAAAGGCCTAGGTACATTCAATGCTCTTAAATTCAGTGATTAGGCAAAAACACTTATATGATATTAGCTAGTTTGTATACCTCACTGTTTAGAACTACCCTATGCCATTATTTCATGACAAAAACAAAGAAAAATTTGTTGGGTTATATTTGGTTAAGCAACTTTTAATTCATGATGTGGGTATTTCAGCTGTTCATTCATCAAATCATTTTAACAATAAAGGAAAAGCTATAAGGTCTCTGCCTTTTAATATCTCTTTGTTAGGAATTAAAATACTCTACAAGCTTTAACTAAATTCTTCAACATCAATCACCCTTTACATAGGAAAAATTCAGCTTCCTCTGACTGAATTATGGAGAATTAACTTATTCTTCTGGAGCATTTTATTTCACATCCTAAGTATTTTTAAAGTGTAAAAAAAGAATTTATTGCTTATATAACTGAATATATAGGTAACATAAGAAATGACAATTAGCCAGGAGTTTTTAAAAGATGTTTTATAAACTAATAGAGCGAAACTTCTTGATATTAAATTTTAAAGTAACTGAAAAACTGTGAAATCAATTTGCAAAATAAATACTGTACTTACAGTTTGTTGCTGTCTGAAACTGAGAAGAAAGTGCTTGAGTAACTGAATTCCAAAATGTGTATAAAATTTCAGCGTGTCCATCCTATGACCCAAAAAAAGGGGATGTATTATTATTTTTTAATTACAATGGATAAGACACAGCATCAAAAAAGTATTAAAAATGTATTTAAGTCTATCAAACAATGGAATTATTAAGTAACTAAGTAGAAATATATAGATGAGTCAAATCATGTCTCACGTCATCATCCTTCTCTGCTACATACTAGCTGTGTGAACTTGGGCAAGTTGCTAAATCATTCTGTGCCTCCCTGCCCTCTGTAAAGTGGAGATAACAGTACCCACACTGCAGGATTATTACAAGGATTTTAAAAGTTTATTAAAGTAAACTCTTGGGACAGTTCTTGATGTATAATAAATCTTCAGTGAATGTTATTATTATTACAATTATTATCATCATCATATTATATACAGAAGGCAATTTTTGTTACCATAAGAAAATGAAGAACAAGCATGCTTAGACCAAGAGTGACCCCCAAGAAACAATTCACCAATTACGAAAGAGAACTGCCTGAAGTATAGACACAATTTTGTTTTTGTTTTTTTAAGTCACAGGAATTCCTATTACTCAGCTTAGCAGGATACTGTCACTCAACTATTAATACATATTTTAGAAAGTAATTACTAAAAAGAAAAGATAAATATTAGTTTAAGTGTCATTTGTTAAAACCGGACAAAGTACTTTAATACTGTTAAAAGAAAATGACTCTTAACAGAAATTTTACCAAGCCCTTTAAGGTACTTCTACACGTGTGGTAATATTATATCAAATTGCTGTTATTCTATTTTTGAAGTACAACAATGCCAATTACACATGGTTCACCCTAGTAACATAAATATGTATAATGTTCAAATATGACTGTCATAAAAAAGAATAATTAGGAAATTCATTCATTCTGCTTTAGTTTTGTACTTGCAAAGAATGAAATTCTACTTTTCAAGGTTATAAGAAAGAAAATAATCAATGAAAAATACTGATTTCTCATTTTTATGCCTATGCACATATCTATTTTCCTTGTTATTTGTTTCTTTAATAAGTTTTGTTTTGAATTCAAATGGGTATTGTGTATCATAAAAAGATAAATCAAATAATTGCTAATTTCTTATGCAGTGATCACAAAATAGATTCAGATCACCAAGATTTTATGCAATATGTGTACTGTATATCATACACTTTAAAGTGGATGTTTTTCCAACAAAGACCTACAGCACAGAGAACTATATTCAATATCTTGTAATAACTTGTAATGGGAAAGAATCTGAAAAAGAATATATATACATATATAAATAAATGAGTCACTTTGCTGTACTGAAACTAACACAACATTGTTAATCAATTATACTTTAGTTAAAAAAAATAAAGTGAATGTTCTTCATCATATTAAAGAACCATTTTAATACATCACATTAACAAAATGAAGGACAAAACCACATGATTATCTCAACTGATGCACAAAAACGCATTTGACAAAATTCAACACACTTTCATGATAAAACCACTCAACAAGCTAGGAACAAGCTAGGTAATTACCTCAATATATTAAAGGTCATATATGAAAAGTCTACAGATAACAACATAATGGTAAAAATCTGAAAGATGTCTAAGATGCAGGAAATTTGGTGACTATATATGTATGCTTCTACATACACACACATACATACACTTAAAAAAGTAAACTTGGGTCAATCTTTCTTAAGCATACAAATACAAAATTCTCAGATATAATAGCAAATTGATTTCAGTATTTGAATTATCTACCTCAACAAGTAGGATTTATGTCAGCAAGGTACCTATCATTAAATATTAGGAAATAATAGCCCAATGTCTCCAGAAGGATATCTACAGGATCATTTAGCTGAGTTAATAAAAGGCAATTAATACCCTTTAATTAAGAAAATAATACCCAGTCCTCATATGTTTTAAGTTCATAGAAAACAATGCATGAAATGATTCTTATACTTTTAAAATTATGATAAAAATCACAAAATTTACCATCTTAACTGCTTTTAAGTGTACAGCAGTGTTAACTCTATGTACCTTGATGTGCAACAGATCTCTAGAACTTTCTCATCTTGCAAAACTGAAACTCTACACCCACTGAGCAACAACTCCCATTTTCTTTCTCCCCCCCAGCCCTTGGAAACTACCTATCTACCTTCTGTTTCTAAGAATGTGACTACTTGAGATACCTCACGTGAGTGGAATCACACAATATTTGTTTTTTTGTGTGATTGGATTATTTCATTTAGCATGATGTCCTTAAGTTTCATCCATCTTTAGCATGTAACAGAATTTCCTTCTTTTTTAAAGACTTAATAATTTTCCATTGCATGTATGTATATATGTGTGTGTCTGTGTATCACATTTTCTTTATCCCTTCATCCATCGTCAGACACTTGGATTACTTCTATCACTTGGCTATTATGAATAATGCTGCAATGAACATGGCTGGGCAAATCTCTCTTCAAGATCCTGTTTTCAGGGCTTCCCTGGTGGCGCAGTGGTTGGGAGTCCGCCTGCCAATGCAGGGGACACGGGTTCACGCACCGGTCTGGGAGGATCCCACATGCCGTGGAGCACCTGGGTCCGTGCGCCACGGCTGCTGGGCTTGTGCTCTGGAGCCCACAAGCCGCAACTGCTGGGCCCGCGTGCCTGGAGCCCGTTCTCTGCGGCGGGAGAGGCCACCACGGTGAGAAGCCTGCGCACCGCGACTAGAGAGGGCCCGCGCGCAGCAACTAAGACCCGATGCAGCCATAAATAAATAAAAAAAAAAAAAAAAAAAGATCCTGTTTTCAATTCTTTTGGATATATTGTGTATCTCCAGAAGTGAGATCACTGGATCATACATTAATTCTGTTTTTAATTTTTTTGAGGAACCTCCACAGTTTTCCTTAGCAGCCACATGATTTTACATTCCTATTAACAATATAAAAGGGTTCCAATTTCTCCATGTCCTCACCAACACCTGTTTTCTGTTTTGGAAATAGTCATCCTAATGAGTGCAGTGATATCTCATTATGATTCTGATTTGTACTTCCTGATGATTAGTGGTGTTGATCATCTTTTAATATGCTTGTTGGTCATTTGTATGTCTTCTTCAGACAAATATCTATTCAAGTCCTTTACACATATTTTTAGTTGAGTTGGGTGGTTTGTTGTTGTTGAGTTGTAGGAGTTCTTTGTATATTATGGACATCAACCCCTTACCAGATATACAGCTTGCAAATATTGTCTCTCATTCTGTAGGTTGCCTTTACATTCTGTTAATTGTTTCCTTTGTCGCACAGAAGTTTTTAAGTTTGGTGTAGTCCCATTTGTCAATTTCACTTTTTTTGTTGCCTGTGATTTTGTGTCACATCCATGAAATCACTGCCAAGTCCAATGTCATGAAGATTTCCCCATTTTCTGCTCTGAGTTTTATAATTTTAGGTCTTACATTTAGGGCTTTAATTCATTTTGAATTAATTTTTGACTACGGTTTAAGGTAAGGGTCCAATTTCTTTCATTCACAAATGAATATCCAGTTTTTCCAGCATCATTTGTTGAAGAGGCTGGTAATATAAAGTTTGTGTGACCCTCTTTATTCTGTATACCATTATTTGTCTTATTTTACCTGAAATTAATACTGTTGCTATTGCTTTCACTTGAGAAATGTTTATCAGTCTATTTATTTTTATTCTTGTCATGTCACTGTTTTTTGACTCTTATAAACAAAGTATTCTATTTTTAAACACTGTTTTATCTTTTAATAAGAAATTATAAACCAAATATGTTTAACCAATAGGTTGTTTCTGCTTTTATCATCTCATTTTATGCTTTGTGTTTTCTTTGTTCTGTGGATGATTTTTGTTAGCTTTTATCTTCTCTAGAGGCTATTTCTTTTATTTCTTTTGGATGTGTCATTATCTATTCCTACAACTAACCATAAATTCCTTTGATGCAAATCATCTTTGTAATTCACAGAATTACTGAAACAGATTCCTAGAAATAACAGGAATTCTTCAAGGCTTTTTAGAATTGCCAAAGTAAACAAGAAAATTCTAAGTCCTAGACATGACCTTTTGAAAGAAAACATAGGGTCCCAGATAATCTGGCTACTTCTTCCTTTTTAGTGACAAGTCACTCAAAACTTCTAAGCCAAGAAGTATGTACTTTTAACTTAATCAGAGAAGAACTCAGACAAACTGTCCATGCATTAGAATGTATGTGAACATTGGCTAGGAAATTAACATTTTCTGAATGTCCATTACGTAACAGGCACCACTGAAAGTTATCTCATTTAAACACTACAACCACCACCAGAATGTAAGCTCCATGGCAGCAGAGGTCCCATTTTGTCTTTCTTACCACTCTAATTTCAACATCGAGAATGTGACCAGGACATAATAGGCACACAATAAATATTTACTGAAAAAATGAGTGGAACGATCTTATAAGATGACATTTTTAGTCCCTTTCTAGAGTGAAAACAAAGGTCAAAGAAAAAAGGTGACTTGTTTAAAATTACACAGAAAGTAGTACAGTAGTACAGAAAGTAGTAGAGCTGGGATTTGATCTAAGGTTTGTTTGACTGATATATTAAAGTATTAGTCCCCTTTAACTTGGCTTACCAAGGCTTATATGACATGACTGTCCCAGCCTACTTCTCTTGTTACATACCACTGAGGTCAAAGATCCAACCAGCACAAATTCCTTCAGGTTGCTGAAGGTTCTTCTGTAGTTTCTTCCAGTTACCAGCTTTTAATCCAGCACATTCATCAGAGTCAGTTTAGCTGTCTCTTCTCTTGGTTCCCCCAGGTTTGGTGCACTCTGTTATATACATCTATAGCATCCCATGTTCCCCACCATAATTATATTTTCCTATTTAAATATAGGAAAAGAGCTGTGGTTAAGAAGAGGAACTCTGAAAGTAGAATATTAAAGTTCAGATCCAGTCTCTACCACTTCTAGAACCTGTGGGGCATCTGAGCGAAGATGATCTAGGCCACTAAATACGTACAAATCTCTGGCTTAAGAACAAGATC